TTGTCATCGTGCCAATCCTGGAAGGAGCCCCACCACTGTGTGGAGCCTGGTAAGTGTTACTCAGAACTGGTTCTTGGGGGAGGGATTGGGTGGAATTCCATGGAAATGAATATGAAGTGCCCATGTCTAGTTGCAACCCAGGTAGGCTCTTTTGAATCCATGGAGCTTAACAGAGGAGTTGACTCACTAAATCCCTGCACCTACTCGAGTTGCAACTTACTACACTAAGCAACAATATTTCAGCCTTGGTTTTGTCTTTGATCTCTTTACCTTTCGTTACCACTAAAAATCAAGTCCTCAGAGAGTAGCTATCCATCATTTCAAAAGCTGCAGTTTGGGAAGAATTGAAATGTCTATATTGTAAGGATAGCATTTGGACAAAATAGGAGAGAGAACACCTGGCTCATGCTAGTAGGTGTTTCTGCACCAAGATCCACCAAGCCTTAAACAGCTTAGAACCAGTGTTGTTTGAAAGGTCACATTTCCTATATGAATGTGCCTGGCTGTGAAAAACAAGTTTCTGAGGTCTTGCTTAGGCTCCCTCTAATGCCAGCAGTGAGGTGGATAATGATCACAGAGAAAGAACCTTCACTTTAATTTTGTGGCATCCCACAAAAAAAGAGGCTTTCTTGTCATCATCCTTGTACTCTCTTTGGCAAAAGATAAACACCCTTTTATTTACAGAGGGCTTCTAGTGGCTTTATTGTCTAGAAGTAGTTTGCAATTTAATTTGGTATACTTTTTTACTGTAATCTTTTTGGCAAACCCAAAGCAACTAATGAATGAAGTGATACATCTAGACTGTTGGTGTGTCTAGACTGTTGAAGCACTCTTGCTTTGTGAAAGAAATGATAGGGCTGCTAACAGAGGTTGGAAGTGGCCCATGAAGACAATGATGCTAAAATAATTGTTTCAGGTTATCCCACCTGTAAAGAGAAAGTGAAAAGGAGGCCTGGAGGACGCTCGGAGGTCATCTATAACTATGTGCAACGCCCATTCATCCAGATGTCTTGGGAAAAGGAGGAGGGGAAGAGCCGACACGTTGATTTCCAGTGTGTGAGAAGCAAATCTCTAACAAACCTTGTCATGGTGGGTGAGGATGTGGCGGAAGATCAGGAGATGCCACTACATCATCCTCCCCAGGTGGATGAACTTGACCGACTAAATGCTCCATTTTCCCAAATGGATCCTGACGTTCTCCCAGATTAATACTCTGGCTACCTGCAAATAGATTTTTGTGTACGCGCTAGATCAGGACTGAATCCCCAGGGCAGCCTGCCTTCAGCTTCTTTACAAGCTGTTCTGTTCTAAAGTAGTTCTGCTCTCTAAATGCAGTCTCTTCAAGCAGGGAGGACAAATGTTATCATTATCTTCTGCTGGGCACTCCCAAGCATCCTTCCAAAATGACACGGACTGAGACTCAGTTATACCTTTCATCCCACAAAAAAAAAGGTCATGTTTCTGGCAATGGAATTAGAAGAAATTTCTTTTAGAAGAAATTACCCAGTCATAAAAAGACACTGTCTTAATTTGCAGTGTGACCAATTCCTCTATAATAGTAATATCATTATCAGCAAGAACAAAAGACAGTAAGTTGCATGTGGAGTGCCCATTCCAAGAACGAAAGCCTCTCTTGGGTTCACAGAAAGCCCCCGGGTCCAGTGAAAGAGGGTAACCGAGCCACTGTCTTACCCCCTACAGCCCCTTGTTGCCTTTCATCCAGCTGCAAAGAATCCCCAGCCTTTCAAACAGATTTTCAGGAGGCTTAAGGACATCAGCAAGAAGGAATCCCAAAGAATGCCTTCCTGATCTTGTTCCTCTAGAGCAGCAGTTCCCAACCTTGGGTCCCCAGATGTTCTTGGACTGCAACTGCCAAAAATCCTAGCCAGCATAGCTAGCAGTGAAGGCTTCTGGGAATTTTAGTCCAAGAACATCTGGGGATGTTCCCAAGGTTGAGAAACTGTGGTCGAGAGCATGCATGCAGTGCTCTGCATCCAACACTGTGGCGGTTTTCAGTGAGGTGGAATGCACCCCACACACTGAGAGCACATGCATTTTAGCATGATTCTTCATTTCCTTTTTTTTCCCCCCAGCGGCTCATATGCCAACTCTATAAACTGCTTCTTTATCTCAGGGAGCTGCTGCAGAGAAAAGGAAAATGCAGGTGTGGAAGTGCACACAGACTGGCATGATGGCTTAAACATGAGAGATTTTGAGCATGGGAGGAACATCGCTCACACAGTTTCCTACTTAATATGCAAACT